TAGCTAGCAGGATTTGTATTTGGAAAATACAATTGTTATCTCAAAAAAATTGTTAATGCAATATTCAACTGCAAAAAAATATTATTCTTACAATCCAAAATATGTTTTGGCTTTAAATGTCCCATAAAAGGGTGATAAGCCATAAAAAATCAACCAATCAATCTCTTTTCTTTCTTACTGGTCTTTGTCAGACTTATGCTATCTCTATTAATCTGTGGTAAGTTTAAGACTGAATTTACTCAGTTGAGAAAATTCTTTTTTTATTCCTTAGTTGTTAAATCCAGCAATGCTTTTGTGAAATGAAACTTTAGTTTAATGATCTTTTATTTGATGTTGTACCAAGTTTTTCTTGGTAATGTCTATTCCCCTACCGCCCATTAGAACTTACTTACCTAATTGCCTAGCCCACTGACTGACCTTACGACTTGAGGCAAACTGACAAGTATATATGGTTTTATCCTCTTGTCATTGTGTGAATTGGAATAAAATCTTTCCAAGAAGACAACTTTTTAATTTATATTGAATCCATTGCTAACTTTGTCACTAGGAAAGTGTTGTGCTAGACAATTTTCCTTGTCAGAATTTTACACGTTTATGAGTCTACCATTTGTCCATACATTGAATGTTGTTGTCACATCAGGTCTGGTGCTTCTACTATGTACCAAAAGATTCTTGATAAAATCCAAAGAAGAATCAAAATGTTCTTGGTTCTAACCTGATATCTCATCTTCAGTCCCTTTCCAACACCATAACATAGCTTCTATATGTCTTTTCTATAAATATTTTCATGATAATTGTTCTAATGAGCTTTCTTTTTTAATATCTTGACTTTATAAATTTAAGTGAAGTATTAGATTGGCAGCTAGGTTTCATTTTATTGCTGAAATTGGTAGATCAAACTGTAATTTTTCTTCTAATAGTTTCTTCTTTTACACTTCTTGACTGTGGAACTCTCTTCTGGCTTCTTGCTTTCCTGTTCACTATGATCTTCTAAAATTTAAATACAATGTCAATTGTCATTTTCTTGAATTCTGTTTTTTTACTGTCCTTTCACCTTAATAATGTTTTGTTCAGTTTCATTTATTATCTTGCTTGGGGTGAAATAATTAGAAAAAATGTTGGAAAAAGTCATTAGTTCATACTCAGGAAAGAAGCTATGCAAAATAATATATATATATATATATATATATATATATATATATATATTGAAGAGCATGATGCCTTCAGCAAAATATTCCGTTTAAGATTCCATCAAGATTATGAGATGCAACATTTATTTAAAGGTCAGGAGATGAAATATGATTGAAACAAGAAAGATAAGGATAGTATTCTGAATAATTCATGGAAGACAAAAGCTAAATATTGAGTTTTCTTTTAATATCTTATGATTCCACCCACATTTCAACAAGAGCATATCAAATGAATCATTTTATGAATTTATGCAGAATAAACTTACTCAAATCACAACAATATCAAGAAATTTCTAAAATGTTTGCTTCATGAAAAATGAAGTCTCCAGTGAATACATAAATAAATAATTTGGAAAATAACAGCAGTTTGTAGCAGAAATGGTGATAGTAGAGCACTTAAGCATAATCATTTATACTAGAAATACCTGTGAAAATTTCACAGTTTCCCTATTTGAAATTTCTGATGAATCTTATTTTTTAAGTTAATGACTGAATAAGCTCATGGCAAGTTCTATGACAATAAAATATCCATAGAAATTCCCTTATTACATTGTTAAATATTTGAGCTTAACTGTAACAAAATATTGCAATAACAATCATAAACATGAATGCTGGTCATTATTTAAAGAAGTAAGAGGGTTGAAATGAAAAGATTTGAAATTGACAATTTTTTTCCATTTCACAGATATTAAACACTTCTATCTTTCCTTCTTTTTTCTGTTTTTTTCTCACTTAAACCAAGTAGCTGATATGTCTTTTCCACTTTTCCACACAATCAAGACAGAATAGTCCATTATTTATTGAGGTATTGGCAGAAGACATTCTTCTTACTCCCTTCTTACTGTCTTTCATTTTCTCACTGAAAACGTCATCTCTGATATGTTTTCTTCATCTGATCAAAATGAAATAGTTCATTATTTATGAGGTACCAGCAGGGTGTAACGTATGCATCTACTAAGTAATTAAGAAGGAGGGTAATATGCAGAATCATAATAAGATGATCTTATAAGATGTTGCCTTCCTTTTACTTTTTATCTAAATCAGCATCATAAATTTTCTTATTTCTGTCAATAATGATTTTCAATTGAATAACAGAAATTATACCTTATAAGTCAAAATCTAATTATGCGTGAATAAATTAAATGTAATGCTTCACCTATTGATTCATTTTCTGCAGAAAATGATTATAATTATAATAATATTGCATTATTTTGAGTTGTACAGTTTGTTTAGACTTGAATTTCAAATTAAAACTTATTTTGATTATCTCCCTTAATTCATTTGCTCAACATTTATGAATGGCACTGATATTAAGAGAACACTTAAAACGATTACTTGGTTAATTATTTTAGTGCATCATTTCACTTACAATTATTTCCATGTGATGCAAACAATAAGCAGGGCATTATTTAAACAAATTACCTGTAAATAATCTACAGTATCTTTTTATGGCAATCTGTCACTTATTGCTGAATGTTAATCTCCTCACTTGAAGCAATAGAAATGTAGTTCTACAGAAGGATGCTGAGAATACAATGGACTGAACATATGAGCAATGACAGAAAATGGAAATAAAATAACACTTAGACTTAACATCAGAAAGAGATTTAAAATTTCTAGGACACAATGAAGACAGAGGGCTTGGAAAATTTGATACTTACAGGACATATTGAAGGCAAGAGAGACAGAGTAAAGCAGCACATAACCTACCCAACAAACTTGTGTAAAAGGATAGCAGAACAGAGTTTAGGAAAGATAGCAAAAAAACAAAACTTACTAAGAGCTATATAGGACAGGAAATTGTAGAGAGCCATGGTCACCAATGTCCATGATCAAATTGTGTCTGTAATAATATCTTGTTATTGAGTTATGCATTTGGTGCTGCAATCAGATGTTGTTCAAAGAATATATAAAAGGTTAATAAGGTTAGGAATAAAATCTTTAGCCTTCAGCCACAATGATTTGTAGCTCAAGATAATTTGATATTGGTTTCTCTTTGTCAAATAATATTTTTGTTTAGAATTGTTTTTCTAAGAAACAAGATTTTGTTTGTTTTGTTCTGCAATCTTCCACTTTCTCTTCTCTTTGAAGACAAAATTGATACTGACCTGCAAAATAATTTCAAATCTAACTTTGAAAAATTTGGAAATGTTATTACAAATTAATAACATTTAACAACTGATGGCAGCTCCAACTGCTGCACAAAGTGGAATCATTTTTAAAGGATTGTTTATGTTTACTGTTATTGTTTATGTTTAACATCTTGTAACAGGAGAGCTTGTAAGAAAAGTTTCTTCTTCCATTTATTTACTCCATTATGGGCATTATTATATCCATGATATAATAACACTGTACTTCATGGATGGGACAGAATGGTTGAAAGGAAAAGGAATAACAAACATGCTTTGTTCTCAGAGAGACTTTTATACCACAAAGACGTACACAAAACTATATATACATCTATACACATCCCACACAAAGAATAATATATCATATCTACACAGCAAGCTGAGTGTAAGGAGAAAGAAAAGGGAAGGGTCATACATATAATGTGGAGATTCTTCTGTATTTTTGGAGAAGACATGTTTAGGACTCCAGATTCAAACAGGCTGGATTCATCTACTGTCCTAAGCAAGGACATATTCCATGAAGAGGAAGTGGTGAGTCTTGGGTTTTCCCAAATTGAGAACTGCAAGCTGGAGTTTCTTTCTATATCTGGGGAAGATCTATTCCCAATGGGAAATAGCACCATTTGGCCCAAGCCCAAAATATTTTACCAAAGGTTAACATATGTACCCTGCAAAAAATGGTGAGTCAAAAAGACAGTTTTTCTCTTGACATGAATATGTACTTCCTCAGCAATGTTATTCTTTTAAAAAGTGGTTTTTACAAATTTAATAAAATCCAAATATATGAAACTGGAATTATGCATTCTCTTTTTTTTTTCTTGAGAACAGCATTTTGGTCAGACTCCACATAAATGACATTAAATGGAACTAAATTTCTTACAATTAAAAGGGAAAAAGACAATTCTTTATCTTTATTTTGTTCCTAATATAAAACATTCTAATAATTAATTATTCATGCCATTTTTTTTGTAATTTGCAAGCTTTTCACTTAATAAATATCAAATTACTGACTTCATCAGCAAATATAACTTCCTCTACTAAGTCTCCGACAAGGAAACTTATATAACAATGAGGGAAATGATTAATTAATTATATAAATACTTCCCTTATGTAAATTACAGCTTACTAGCTCCACCTAGTAAACATTACTTCAAACACAATTTTGGAGAGGAAATTAACATAACAATAAAAACATTGTCATTAGATTATTTGAAAAATACTATTAAAGACAAATATGATAGTTTGAATATTAATATTATTTTATATATCACATTATATATACTGAAATTGAAAGGCAAAGGAAAAATAAAACTAAGTTGAAAATAATAACCAATTACTGAATTATACATTAATTGCGTGCATTAATGTCATTTTCATCACTTTTGAGAAAGTCTGTCTCCCACCCTGCTAAAAAAGATTCCTATTGATATTTGTGTATCTAATTCTAAATCTGTTCAAATATCTAAGTTAGTAAATATTTTTGCTTAGTGATAAATATACAGTTTCAATATCTATTTAAATATGCAAAATATATAAAAGTATTGGCACATTTAGTTTCCTTTATTGAAAAGTAAGCAAACTGAAGAGAATGGAACTGACTTGTATTTAGTAATAAATATACTTTTGTACCTAAAGTGCTCACAAATTTACTTGTGTTTAGTATATTGTGATAAATGCATATATGCACTATCTATCTCAGTCTATTCATATCTGTCTCGGTGTAGTCACATTTATCTATCTATTTATCTCAGTGTGTTCATATCTGTCAATCTATCTATCTAAATTTGTTCCTATCTCTCTCTCTCTATCTATGTCAGTGTGTTCATATCTATCTAGCTATCTATCTCAGTGTGTTTCTTTCTATCTATCTATCTATCTATCTATCATTGTGTTCATATCTATTTCAATCTATTCATATCTATCTCAGTCTGTTCATATCTAGACATCTTTCAATCTATCTCACTGTGTTTATATCTACCAATCCATTTCAATCTGTTCATATCTATCTATCTATGTATCTCTTTATCTTTTAAAACAAAGACATATATCAATATGTCCGTGCAAAGACAGTGGTAAGTATAATCAAATGGCTATAGAGGTAAACAGGCACTACTAACCCAATACTAATCTAAGAGCATATGAGGCATCTTATAAAAATCTTATGATGATTTTGTTTGCAGGTTTCCATCTCGTTTGACTCCCTTAAATAAGAAGAAATATGGTCAGAAGGGCAGTGACAGTGAACACTCTCAAGAGAATTCAACAGCTTCAGATTACAGTTCCTCCAAAAGGTAGCTACTACAATATACTTGTAAAAAGTCTTTCACTGGCATCTCTGGCCAGATCTGTGATGGTAAACTGTTGGCATTCTGCTGATGGGACCATTTCTAGCACACTTGATATTAGTAGGGCTTACTAATAGTCTAGTACTTCTCTTTCTGTCATCATCATCATCATCATCATCATCATCATCATCATTATATTATGATATGATTTGTTAATTACTGGGCCAGTGTCTTACCCTTAGACTACTTGAATCACATGTAGTGCAGGAAGTCCCCAATTATATTGACTGGTCATGGATCAAGATTGTCTGATGCTGAGTATTCACACAGTGTTGCACAAGCTATTAACAACCACAAACAATTAGCGAGTACCATTGGAAGGGAACCACATCATCCACTGCAGCCTGTTTGGTGACCATTTCTGTGGTGTAAGTGAGAAACCATCACACAAATGCATACACATATCAGGAGTGTCTCTCACACACACACACACACACACATATATATATATATATATATATACTAGAATAAATTTTAAGGAGCCAGGCAAACTTGCCTAGGTTTCATCTAAATGAATCTTCAGGCTAAACTGATATCAGATATCATATCACTGTGATATGATTTGGCCATTAACAACCCCATCAGTGTCTTACCATCAGACTCCTCAAATAGTATACAGCACAGGTAGTCTCCAATTGACTGGTTCTTGTCATTGAATCAAGACTGATGCTGAAAGACTATGTAGTGTTGTGAAAACTGTGAATGACTATAGACAATTGCACGGATAACATTGGGTTTCCATCTCATGCACCCTGGCTTTTTTGGCTGTCTTTATGAAATGAATTGAGCTGCCATCATCATTTCTCAGATGAATATTTAGATGCATTCTATATAAAGTAAATCATGGAACTTTCCACCATTTAAGAGAGATCCTTCAAAAATGCACACATACACATGAGAGTATGGTAGATGTGTACAAACCTTTCTGTCATTTGTAACATTTAAAACTTAAATTCTTTTTTATCTTTTCAGCATGTAGACATTCATAGCTCTTTGCAGCTTTCTGCCATTTGTAGCTCTAAATAACACTCTATCATTAATTTACACAAACTCTTTTGATAAGTTAATCACTGTTTCCCTCTGCCCCCACTCTCTACAACCTGCCATCAATATTCCATGTGAGGGTTTAAATTCTTCAAACCCTCATTTCCCAATATGTGTTTGAAAATCAGTTATCTCTTTCAGATTGTAAAAGCATAAGTTTCCTCTTAATACACAGTTGAAAACTGGATTTTCACTGGAAGTTTTTACCCATACCTAATAGATATAAGTATATGTAATTATTTATGGTAAAGCAGTCAGTGAGTGGTCAACCAAAAACCCTAATACAATAGGAAAATATTTTTAAATAATCTTGTAATAATGCTAGTGATAAAAATTTTACATTTCCACTTGAGTTTTGATATAAGCAAAAAAAATGTGTCAGAATGAAAAAGAATATTTATTGTTTATAATTAACACATACACTTCACACTAATAGGAAACATGACAAGACTACAATAAAGACAACATATTTATTGACTGTTATTAAATGTGGCTTTTGACATCATTACATGTATTATATATACTGAAGTTGAAAGACAAAGGAGAATTATGACTAAGATGAAAATAATAACCAATGACTGAATTATACATTACATTTTGTACTTTAGGATACAAATCTACATAAATTGGAAATTTTAAGAATTAAACTTTATAATTTTTAGACACACACACACATATATATATATATATATATATATATATATATATATATATATATATATATATATATATATATATATATATATATATATATATATATATATATAATATCTATACTCAGGCTGTGTGAAAAAAAAAACAGATAATACAATTTATAAATAAAAATATATCTAAAGACATCTGTATCAGCCAAAAATAATCAATCAGCACCACAATGCCTAGTCAAAAGAAAAAACACCAACAGAGTAAATTAAGTTAAAACATAAAAGTGTTCAATACACTAAGTAGAGCAAAATCTAAAAAACCTACCTACGAATGTTACACCTAACAGATCTTCAGGGTACTGCTGATTAAAGAGGGTTGGTTCAAAGGAAATTTTATTGGTAAAAACAGCCACCACGAAATAAAATTAACATCAAAACAAAACAAGATCAAGACAAAGAAAACAAAAGGATAGGCCAAAGTTATTTTATTGGAAAGACAACCACCCCCCAAAAAAAACTCACTATCCTTTTATTCAAGTAACCAGTCTTTTTTGTGTCTCCACCCATTGAGAATTTCCAATCTCTGATTAAGTAACATGTTGAGGTTATTATAAGTGTCTATGGCTAATTTTTACTCTATGGATAGGAGGCAATACCTATCGCCAGCCTTATATTTGCAACATTTTTGTATTATCTCCCATTTTAGTATGGGGTCTATGCCTTCCTCTTTTTTAATTTTCCATACATTAGATAAACTATGTCTATATGTCTATAGGTTTCATGTGTGAAACTACTTTTATGGTTATAATATCTTTTTTTTAAATGGTCCCTGGGTCGAACCAATGTAAACTTTTTTATCATTTTGACTATTGTTAGGTTTATTGCTATATACCTCTACTTTATATACTACACATTCATGTTGGTAATTGTCCCTTAAGGGGGCAAATAGCCTTCTTGATTCAGTTACATTTGGGGGGAATTGATATAGTGTTCATTTTTTATCTTTTCAATGTTGTATTTATTAATCCAATTAGCCATGTTGGACATACAACTATAATACAATTTAATGATGTTTTTGTGAAAAAATTTTATGTAATTGGTTTGACGGGGGGGTGGGGAATTCTTTTTTAATAGTCTAAAAAATTCCTTCCCTAGTTTAGTAGCTACAGCTAAATTATATGATGGCATGAACCATAAGATTTTCCTAGACCTATTTCCCCCCCTATTATGTGCATTAGAAGTTTCAACTATGTTTATATAGACAAGTTTGGTTTTATAGCCACTATTTTTTTAACGCTATCTCATAATCATATTTGCTTTGGTTAAAGATGTTAACATTAGATGAATTGGTGGATAAGCTAAACATAACACTGTTGGGGATATGTTTAAAAACTTGTTTAGGGTGATTAGAACCTACATCAATATAATAGGGATTTTTCTTGCTTTTCCTAAATGGAGATACAGTGCTGTTGCACAGGTTAAGTGTAACATTTAAATAATCAGTGATTTTTAAATTGGTTTGGAAATGCAAACCTATTAAACAACCAATGTAATTTTTTCCTGATAGCATCACCTTTTCTAGGGGTACAATAATTAATCTGTCATCCCAGTAAAGGCCATGGTTTCTGGAGTCAATAATTTTGTTAAGGTTATTCAACTGCAAACACCCTACTAATTCATATAACTCAGCCCTATAGTGTTGTCAAAATTATCACTAGCACCCTTTCTAATCCATAATGCCTCATTATGGTACAATAAAGATTTATGCCAATGCATAATAACTTTAATTTTATCTTCTGGTATTGACATGAATTCCCTGGCTACAGTTTTTTTCTACAGTTTTTTCCATGATGGACAAGTAAAGCACTTTAATATCATATTTTACAAAAGATCATTTACTATTTTTATCATAATTCTTAAACCACTTTATACAATCATTGGTATCACGCCATTGATATTTCAAATTATTCTAAGTGTCATATAAATGTCTTGTAAAATAAACTTACTAATTTTCCCCATTTGTGTTTTAGTTGGATTAATCAATCTACATGCCAGATTACTATGAAAATCACTTTTATGATCAAGTAATAAAACAATTTTTAATATTAAATTTTTCTACTCTATTTCCTATTTTAAATTTGCTAGCTAGTATTTTGGCTTCTTTGTTAAGCTCAGCATCTAAATTAGGTGGAACCATTTTATAATATTTGATTATCTCTTTGTGTAGCATTTGTTTGTATCGATTAGGACTCATCTTGTATAAGTTATCAGATTTATTCCCTTTAACAAATATTTTGTTAGTACCCTTGATGTCTTTAAGGTCACTCTTAATTTGCTGTTGCATGGTATTATTAAAAATTCTATATTTTATAGACTTAACGAGTATGATTAAATTAGATTCAAAAGCATTTAATTCTTTAAAGTGGGGGGGGGGTATTTTTAAATCCATAAGATTCTTGTATATCCTGGGAATAAGTTTGGGAGTTATTTGAAAAAATATACCTTCCACTTTAGCCAATAGCACCCTGAAGATCTGTTAGGTGAAAACTTGGTAGGTAGGTTCTAGCACATTAGGTTTTATGTGTGTGTGTGTGTGTGTGTGTGTGTGTGTGTGTATTGTGTATTTGAGCAGTAATCCTTCTTTCATGCAAGTTTCATTGAAAACAACTGACAAAGTGCTGTGGATGAGTTTTTTATATAATTTCACATGTGCTTGTATAATTTTTGTTTTCAGGACATAAATTATATAAAAAATTGTCCGAATGTTTTCCAAGTGCTTTTGGCTATACTTTTAGGATGAATTTTATTTTACTTTTAACTGAATATATGGATTGTTTTTATGTATGTTATAGGAATGTTTTATTTTCCAGACACAGTCAGCACATTTACTTTGACATACAATTTGCCCAATATTTTGCTTGATATATAGAAATATATATTGTTATCTCTCATATATATATATAAAAAATCTAGACCTACTTAGCAAGAATGACAAACTGAAAAATATACTAAAAACCACCAAAATAATTTAAAACAAATGCTAATCTAAAAATTTAAAACACATACTAACCTCCTCTAAATTTAACCAACACACAATACAGGTAGTCACAAAATGCAACAAAAAAAAACATGTGGGGTTTGTGACATCATTATAGAAGGAAACTCCTACACTTTTGAAAACCCCAAAACGACATTCATAATAAATAAAAATTTAAACTGCAACACCAAAAATGTGATTTATGCACTCAAATGCACAAA